GTAGGATTTCTGAGAGCATTGTTAGAGTCTGTTTCCTGTACACAGCTCTCTGGTTCAGTGGTTTAATTTGCTGTACCCTTGGGTGTCCTTTCTAACTGTGTTCAGTCTTTATCCATAAGTGAAACTTAACATATTCCATTTTAATTACTGTTACTGATGGAGGATATAGTATTTTAATTTATATGTTTGTAGTGGTTCCCTCTTCAAAGAAAATATTTAACTGCTGATCTCCTGTCCTCTTCTGTGTATGTTACTCTGCAAGTCTGTATTTGATCTCTTTGTACAGCACGTATCCATGTGCACACAGAACTGTTAATATCTGCTGTATATTTCTGCAATAGCATCCCTTTAGAACACATTCCTAACTGGTGTTTCTGCTCCTGTGTTTCATTATGGAAGGTGACTGGTACTAATTAAGATAAAGCTGGGGAACCAGAGTGTCTCTGTTTGTGATTATTGTATCTGGAGTAACTGAGAGGAATTCACCTGTTCTGGACTTCCTGAGTTTTACTGAAGGAGGAAGAGTTCATCTGAAGAGTGAAAGTCTGAACAGTGGACTGTGCAGGCTTCTACTAAAGGGGGCCAGCAGGAAATCTGGGAGCCCGGAGGGGATCCTTCTGGCATAATTAATTACAGGACACTCTGATGTGCACATTGTAACGTGATGTGTTTACTGAGAGGTGTAATTTGACGTTCATGGGCTGGTGTCACCACGTGTGTCTGGTTACCGAGGGGTCTGGGGCAGATGCCTATAGCCTCTCAGTCAGGGGGTATATAACTGGGAATGAGGGGCTCTTCCAGGACAGGAGGCATATCTGTGTGTCCTGACAGAGATCTCAGGTCCAGTCAGTAAGAGACTCAGTGGACTGTTTCTTTCCCAGAGTCTGAGACTCTTGACCATCAGGTGTCTTATTAGTCCTGGTAAGATTGGGGTTTTGGGGGTGTTTATCTGTCAGTAAGGAGTCTGTTTCCTGGGAATAAATCTGAGAGCTGGGAGCTCTACTGAGACAGGCTGCAGTGATGGGGGTTCAGTAAGAGACTCAGTGGGGTGTTTGTCTCAGAATAGATCAGTCATTTCAACATCAGTTCATTAATCACTACTGTCAGTGAAGATTGGGGTTTTTACCTCAGAT